ACCATGGGATAGGAGATTGACCGAGTCACAGAGTCGGTCTGAACGACGGGAGGGCGAAAACAAATTCTGCCCTTTTCGGGAATCAAACGGTGATCCTCCGCTCGTCCAATGCCTAGCTTAGTCGCTATACTGGGTGAGTTATCTCAGCTCACCACATGTAGAGTCCAGCAATCGATGAGGAAACGTAGGAAGAACCAGACGTGGAAGGAAATTTAACTTTTCAATACCGAAAACATCAAAACGGATTTCTAGCATTCAGTCCTTCTTGGAAGAACAAGAACAAAAGAGATGGAAGAGAAGAAAATAGTAGACCTCATTGGAGTAAATATTGTTTGGAAGGCGATTTTGTGGGCAAGCGAGAGGAGTGCTAAACTAACATCATGGAGCTGAGCCCTTCTTGAGAAGGCGTCAGCTGTGCAGCTACTCAAGAACTTCCCAACATTTTGTGGAACCCGAAGGTTCATCACCGTGTTTACAAGAGCCCTTCACTTGTCCCTATCCTGAGCCAGACAGATTCTATCCATACCATCCCAGCCTATATCCCTAAGGCAGCGTCTACGTGAGCCCACAAAATGCGTCCGTTGTAACGAACGTACTTTGCTGAGGACGTTGCTGAGGACACCACAGAGTTGCAGAATGGAGCCAGAAGAAAGCGTAGCATTCGCCTATCTTGTTTATTTCTACAACGGACGTCACGACGTTTTGTGCGTTCGTGTAGACGCTGCTTAAGATCCATTTTAACATTGTCAACCCATCTACGTCTTGGCCTTCCTAATGCGATTCCTTCCTATATGCATTCCTCTTCTCCCCATTCGTGCTACATGCCCTGTCCATTCCATCTTCCTTGACTTAGTAATTCTAATTATACTTGGAGAGAGTACGAGTTATGAAGTTCCTCATTATGAAGTTCTCTCCAACCTCCTGTCACTTCATCTCTCTTCGGTCCAAATATTCTCCTCAACACCCTGTTCTCACACACCCTCAGTTTATGTTCCTCCCTTAATGTCAGAAACCAAGTTTCACACCCATACAGAACCACAGGGAAAATTACAGTTTTGTATATTCTAATTTTTATGTTTTTGGACAGGAGACGGGGAGACAAAAGGTTCTGGACTGAAAGGTAGTAAGCATTACCCGAGTTCAGTCTCCTCTTAATTTCCTCCTGAATCAGGTTTCGATCTGTTATCGTTGTTCCCAAATATCTGAACTGTGCCACATTTTCAAAACACCTGTTGGCTATATTTATGTCATGTTTTTGCCCTGCATTCTGGTGACGAGACAGCAACATATAATTACTGTTATGCCTGAAGGGGGGGGGGGCTAATGGAATACTCTAAATTACTCAGTCGCCTTCCAGCTGCACTAGGCCCTGGGGTTTACTCAGCCTCTAACAGAAATGAGTACCAGGAATTAATTAAATAATTTTCCTGGGGAGTAAAGCGCGGCCGGCGCGTAGGGCTGACAACCTTACCGCCATCTTTGAGCCGATTGTCTAGATAATATGGAACCCTCAACGTCTCACAACCCTATGGACCTTCACGGCCTGGTACGGGGATAGCTTTACTTTTTTACTTTTTACTACGCTAAAATTACTTTATTCCCGAACTTGTATCTTCTCCACTGCTCAAAACACAACTGAAAGATGGAATTTGAATGGTGTCTGAAAACCTACCCTCTGTCTATTCTTACAAAGAACATGTTACTTAAGGCTGGAAGAACTGAGGTAAGTTCACAATAACATCCACACTCGGCCCGTCGCTTTCAGCCTTGTGTATAGTGTTCTTTTCTATTGCGGGCTTGTCAAAACTAGCCCCAAGCGTGACACTTCAAGACGCATGAGATACCCAGAAACCCTGAAAGGTTCACTGAACTTCAGGCTGCTAACGATACACCCAGTAAGGGCTAGAGACGAGTTAGCCCCTGCGTTATTGTAACCGTACAAATAAGCTGTGATATGGCCAAGACATCAGTATTGCCTTTTCCTGTCTCCTTAATTACATCATGATAACGAGAAATATTAATATTTTGATACAAATTTGATCTCAATAAACAGAATAAAATATGAAAATTCAATACTACAACAAAATCAGGTGGGGCTTAGCCCCTTTAGCCTCTAATGACGCACCGCCCCTCGTTGTAATTAGTCACATTTCGTAACGGCAAGGAGTTGTTAGTTATGGCCCATATACCAAGGTGAAGGATCATTCCTTGCCGGCTGTCCAGGACTACATGTCAGGATATTCGCATATTCCTTTTATAGCCGAAAGACGTCTCCTCCGTCTGCAGTAATGCAGCATGGTGACAAAGGACACGCTTGGCACGAGTCTTGTGTCACAGGCTACCCGAAACTGGTTGCCTTGAGATTACTTTGTCCGTGCATAATCACTCAGCCGATGGGCCGTTCTGTGCATCAGTTTCTTTCGGGGTACAAAGAAACCCGATAAAGGATATTTTATTTCACATTGTAGCTTAAGTTGGTACTCTTTAACAACAGAGCGGGAAAATAACGTGCAGAGAGAGACGATGATATGAGGTTGCGAGTTGCTGCAGTTCGAATTTCTGATGCATGTGCTGTGAAACCGCGCGTAGCATTAACCATTGGAATCCCGCACTTCATCGAAATAATGTTTAAAACTCAGTTCCTACTTCACAGAAAACACGGCCTGTCTCCATTACTAATATCAACATTCAGGATTACTAGGTTTTTAGACTTCGTCCATTGTCCGATATTCTTAAGAACATTACAGAACACAACGTTTCGGCAACTGGATTCGTTCCGTCCTCAGGTGAGGGGGATGGGATACTTCTACGTTGGGTCCGTTAGACTTAAGGCACGAAGCATCTTCGCCCGCTCAAACACTGTGATCATGGGTTCGAATTCCACTTCATGCATGGATGTCTGTATGCATTTATTCCGTGTTTGTATTGTCCTGTATGCAGGTAGCGGCCTTGCAACGGGCTGATTGCCCATCAAAGGAGTCCTAATGACTGTGTAAAATATCAAGAAACTGAAAACAAGCGGCCAAGGCCAAACAAAGGGTCGTAGAGCCATAAACAGATATAATTGCAGGACACACTTCTTGAATAAAGAGAAACTCTGAGTTTGCAGTGGTTTGTTGACAATATTATCGGTGAGACGCAACACGCAGAAGGTTGAGAATCGCTGACTTACTGCTCACGAGCTCAGTATAAGGAACTTCTTATGTTCATGAATCCTAACGCCTCATTTTCCACAGATAGTGAATCTGAGGCGTACGCCTGGGATGGCTTCTTCAGGTTGCTTGGCCTTCATAGTTCAGACGTCGGACGTCGAGTTCATGCTCCTTGTTTTCGCCGGATTGGCGCGTTCTCCGAGATCTGTACACAGGGCCAACAGGAAGTTCCTCTACTTCCCTTGTAAAGAAACCCGTGAAACTAATTTGACTGAAATTTTCTCAATTAGGGAAATGGACTTTTTGCCCAACTCGATAATAGCCAAATCTAGTGGCTACTCCTAGCAACAGGGAGTTACCAAGTACAAGTGAGTGAATGATCATATGTGTAGTAGGTTCTGTCTCATACTGTACAGAGGCAAGTAGAATAGTATGCAGAGGTGACTCAAAAATGTCAGTAAACTTGTTGGAAAATATACATTAATATTTCATCATTACTTACTAAATTTACTAAGTTTTTCGAAATGAGGTACTGGTGATCAGTGCACAACTCTCAGCGCGGTGATACCGTGCTGCAAATTCACTGACAGGTTTAAGTACGAGCATTCCTATTAATACGAGGGAATGCTTGGGGTTAACTAACTTTTGAGTCATTCTGTATACACAACGTGACAACTGTAGTGCGTTCCATCACTTTTGTTTGGTTATCTCGAAAACCGTAAGACTTGTGGAAAAGTGTAGTGGACACAGATTGTGTTCGGTCTCTCTCTGCCTGCCATTCGAAACATTTTTTCCTCCAATAAATATTTGGCAAGTTGCACTTGGGCCGCAAGGAGACTCGCATGCAATAAAAAGTAAAGGTATCCCCGTAACAGGCTGTGGAGGCCCGTAGGGTTCTGAGACGTCGAGGCTCCCACATTTTCTAGACAGTCGGCTCACAGATGGTGGTAAAGTTGTCAGCTTTACGCGCCTGCCGCGTTTTACTCCCCAGGAAGATTCCTGATACTCATTTCTGTTAAGAGGCCGAGTCGACCCCAGGGCCATAGTGCGGCTGGAAGAATTAGGTCAATTGAAAAATCCACGTCATTGTGACTCGAACCCGCGACCTTCCTGTTTGTAACATGGTGCCTCTACCTCGTGTCCCCTTTAAGATGCGTTTGCAAAGTCCCATTGACGGCTACCGTGACTGTGCGAACAGGTGGAACTGTTGCAGACTTCAGGTCGGCCGCGAGGGGCGAGTTGACCCACCGCTTCGTGGGGCAGAACCCTTCAGAGTCAATGCCACTGGACATGTGAACGTCAGCTACGGGGAGGGGGGTTCGCGCCGAAGGTAACCGGTACCCCGACAAGGTGTCAAATCTCATGGACAAATTTGTCATCATAACCGCAATGCACTACTATCCCCTGACAATCATCGACGAAAGCCTGGACCTTCCGTACTGGAGCTCCGCTTCGTGCAGACCAACTTCAGTTGCAGGACTGTGTAGGGGTGAAGTCTGGCACAATGACAGTGGAGACGGGCTCTGCGGACTATTTCCTATATTTATGTCATGATTTTGCCCTGCATTTTGGTGACGAGACAGCAACATATACTTAGTTTTCTCTGTGTTTACTTCTAGACCAACCTCTTTACTTGCGTAAATTATAGTATTGTCACGTGTTGGGTATGCCACGCGTTAAATAAATTCATGTGGGTCTCGGATTTAGTGAATCTTTATTGTATACTCACACTTACACACCTTACAATTATTATCGCCTGTGGTATCACGTCTGTTTTTCTGTGTTTGTGTTGTCCAGTGTTTAGGTAGAGGTGTTGCGAGAGCTGATCACCCGTCCAAGGAGTCCTACTGTCTGCAGAATGATCAAGAAATAAACAAAGCAACCTATGCTTCAAAGTGGGAGGAAGAAAAGAAAAAAACATTACATATTACAGATAAACCAGACACGTGCTAGGCAACGGCATTATAACCTAATATAAGCCAGAACATTCTGAAATATTTACAAAAATGAAATGCAAAACAGCGTAACAACAGAGCAGCAGGTTCCTTCAATCCAACATCTGATACACCTGAAGATGGCGAGTTAGGACGAAACATGATGCTACATTAAACTGAAAATTCGTCAGCGACTACAAGCAGTGACATATATACGTAGTATATTGCGTGTATTTAAAATACTCGACGAATGTTTCGCTGACGTCATTTCAGCCCGGCGAAACATCTGCAGCTATGAAGTTTGTCCATGTGCTAGGTGGAACGCAGCGGCGGACTGGCTCCAGGGTTCCGGGATCACGTATGTCTACAGTTGATGCTGTGTTCCATTCCGGAGCGGGGCTGTGAATGTAGGAGTGACTGGAAAAGAACATGTGCTCATGTGAGATAATGTATAGACTAAGCTTCCTCGTGATGGCATAAGAAACAGATTAACAACCAAACTGATCTGACTTTCTTGCCAGTTGATATCAGAAGCATGTCAGTTCTGGAATATTCAAAAGCACCTTTCGAGATTCACAAATTTACAAAGGAGGGAATCCGGAACTTTGAAGGAAGTAACTAGGTAACGGAACAGTGTTTTCCTCGGAAACTAAAAGTTGCTCAGCTTGTCACATTTCCAGCATATTATCGAATCCAGAGGTTAATACCATGCCAGCAACAGCCTGAAACAGGTCACTAACCTAAACCAGATAAATCCAATCCATACCCTCCCATCCAATTTACGAGTATTAAAGAGAGTTTCCTTACTTCAGGTTTTCCTAATTGAACTTTTTATCATTTCATTTAATCCAGACTTCTGGTCTGTAGATGCAGGAACTTGTTCCTCCTCAACATTGGCAGCCGTCTACAAGGCGTCATGACTCAGACTTGTACCCTGAAGGCGAAGGTTGCACCGCGCCCTTCGTCTTCTTCTCCTTCTGATTATTATTATGTTATTATTCTTACGAAGAGGAAGGGCACAGCGCAATCGTTACTGGCCCTATTGTTGGTTCCCACGCTCCCCTAGATGGACATGGGGTATCCAAGCGCGGAGGAGGAAGCTACACTCAGTTCGTTGGCTTAGATAAGAATAAATACAATTTTGATAAAAAAATATATAACAATACATAAATAACAAACGACACATTTGACCAAGAAACTAATGCAAGCTCATTTAGAACAAAACAATTTCCCGTCGGCACCACTTGTGTCGACACTAGACATTTTAGGACGTTAAACCCTCAGGCTATACAAACAAAAGTCTAATTAAAAAAAAATACCAAACCAAATCTAATAACGCGCGTCGCAAGCGTTCAAGCAACGGCTTGCGACCGCGGGCAGTCCTTACCGGCCAGCCAGATAGCACCAAAAGGGAATTTAGAACAGACCCAGCCGAAACCAATATTTTCCACAACAAACCTGCTGGCTAGTAACCGACCTTCCAAGTCAACTTGGTCTACACGACTGCACTGTACAAGTCTCCCCTTCACGAGAGGGTACATGAGACCACGTGACTGACGTCAGGATACTGCATAGTGGGGATGGAATCCGCCAAGGGAAACATGATGACATCATACGTGAGCGAGCTGAACCTTAGAACGGCTCAAGGCAGTATATTCCTTCGAAGCATTACCAAGCTGCTATTACACTACAAGGTGTAATGACTCATGGTTCCACCATGAAAGTGAGGCACTATGTTCCTCCGAAACACTGGTAACAACTACCAGACCATATGGTGTCATGGTCCAGAAAATCACGACATAAACCTTCACCACCCCGGAAACCTTAAATCACATACAATACAAGATCTATTTAAGATTTTCATTTCTTTTTTAAAGAGATCTGGTGCGATGGACATTGAATGAAACGCAGCGAGTTTCTGTGTGGGAGAGAGAGAGAGAGAGCAGGCGCTCGGGCGGGAGTTGTCGGGCGCTGCGCCCGGGACAGCCCGTATAAATTTGCCGCACGGTTGCGCTGTCTAGAAACCTCTCTGCGGCTGGAAAATTTGTGTGCCAGTACGTCATTTGTGTAGTGTAAATTGACTTTGAAGGAACAGGCTTAAATCTGCAACATATGGAGGTCAGTCGAACCTGGCAAATGCTGGAGCTCACAGCTCCACTTTGATTCTGCTGTAAGTATTCCACAGATGGAGCTTGGACACAGCGTAGGACACTCTGGTCAAAGGGTAATAAAACTCTGATTTCATAAGAGGCGGGGAACTTCTTGACTAGATGAGGGACTGTTAGCTTCTAAAGTTCTCTGATCCATGAAGATGCTTAATGAGGTCAGATGGACGGAGAAAGATGATGCTCTACTCCACGCAGAAGGGGGGGGGGCGCTCTTGATAAAGTGATAAGTCGTTCTGCGGTCAAGAAACCCCCTCCCAAATTAAGTTATTCGAAGGTTCACTGCCTTGTTCACAACAGCCCGCCACCTGAACTGGAAGATCCAGTTCACAGATTCACATTCTATTTCTTTAAGATTCACCTTAATATTATACTACCGCCTGTGATTTTATCTTCCAAGTGATCTCCAATCAGCTATTCCACTCAAAATCTTATATATTGTCACGAATTAGGGGTTTCGTGACTAATAATAACGGGTTCTGGATTTGATGTTTTGTTGGTATTTCTTTACAATTACAATCAATTCGGACAAGGTCATATTCAGTGACTACTTGCAACTCGCTCCATTCCTTACTGGACCACGAGTGTCTTCTCTTCCACTGTGACGAATGCCGAACCACGAATCGCTTAAGAGTAAATCCTTTGAACTCCTTGAACTAACTCGTATCCATGAAAATCTACATAAATTATTTGTTGTCACGAAAACGTGCTTACTGGAACATCGGCAACTTAGCAACCGAGGCTCTACTGTTGACTGCGTTGCCTCGAGAATATGTTTACCGAAGAGTTGCCTAGCAAATGGTCAAATTCCTTCACAATATCTTTCCCATACCTTCTACATGTTCCGCCAATATCAAAGTCTTCCGCCTTACAGCATGCAAATCTTAAAAATTGTATGAAGCTTTCCATTATGCAGTTTCTCCATTCCGCTGTCACTACCTCCCTTTACGACCATAGATTTTCCTCAGAACCCCCCCCCCCAAAATTCTATGTTCTACCCTTACAATCCAGCATCTAGCACGGTAATCGGATTTACTGAACACTTACACTCGTAACTACAAATATATGACTGTCTCACTGAGTTACATACTCCAAAGATCACTGTAACTACAGCACATATAAAGTCTTCTCAGTTTTCATTAGCCGTTGCTTGGTAGCGGCTTTCAGCTCCGGACATTTCCCTTCTTCTGGATACCTGGACTGTCCCCGGCCTCAGCTACCAGCTTCTCACTTCTCACAGCTGCAACTCTCAGCTAACCGATCGCGCTACTGAGGCCGTTAAACTATCAACTAACTCCGCACCGCACAGAAACCGTCTCTTCCATTATTGCTTGTTCTCTCGTTGCCCGGAAAACATGTCCACATAGCAGTTCCCTAGCAACGGCTGTTGTACTGTCGCCTGTTTACACAACTGCTACTTGGCAAGGGGTCTGTATATCACAATATGAAATATATCAGGCCTTCAGCTTTAATAATGGCGAGCGGGTTGGCGTAGTGGTAATATTTTTTTTCACATTCGGGAGGTCCTTGGTTCGAATCTTGCCCAGAATACCTGCTATGTTGACTAAAATTTATGTGGTCTTTCCCAGTCCCCCCAGGTAACTTCCGGGACAGTTAGTTCCCTTCCAAGTGCATTCCAGTTCATCATTCATCCATCGTTCTAAAATTGTATAAAGTCTAGCTACTGACAGCGTCGTTAAACAACCCACAGGGAATACAGTAGACTCTCGTTATAACGGACTAATAAGATCCGTTATCGCCGATGTCCGCTGTAACGAAGTGAATGGGTATTCACAGAAGTACGGTACATCATAGCGCAGTTGGTTGAGACACTATACTACAACGAGGAAGGCCACGGGATCGATTTCCGACGAGGCTACTTGATTTTTCAATTGACCTAATCCTTCCAGCCGCACTATGGCTCTGGAGTCGACTCAGCCTCTAACAGAAATGGGTACCAGGAATCTTTCTGGGAAAAGAAGGAGGCCGGCCGGAGCTTAAGGCTATTAACCTCACCGCCATCTGTGGGCTGATTGTTTAGAAAATGTGGGAGCCTCGACGTATCACAACCCTATAGGCCTCCACGGCCAGTTACAGGAATAACTTTACCTTATCTCCGCATAGGATACAAGGCCAATACATGCAATAAACATAGAGACAAACAATATGATTATACAGAGGTTTTTATATTCGAGTTCTCTTTTATTTTAAACAGTTTCTAGCTATGAAACCTTTTATCGTGCCTCAGCATCTCTAAAAATCCACAACCAGATTTTATCCGCATTATCCGGGTCCGTTATGACGGGGGCTTGCTCTACTTTCATCATAACGTGCCCACAAAGCGTCTCGTGTATTGCCTGTCATTGGAAATAAGAAAGGTCCTTAATCATTGGTTTTTAAAATCGTGCAAATAATTTAGCCGGTTTGGTATAACCAGTTCCTTTGTTTCTAGGTAAATGGCGGCTTCTTTTGAACAATATCGAGTCGCTTCCAACTTTTCCTTTCTTATGAACAAATGCTAGTTGTACAGGCCAATACATGCACGGCGTCGACGTCTTCTTGAAGAAAGTTCTGGCCAACTGCTGTACCGGAAGCGACAGCAAACGTCTTTACCTAGTAGCTCCGCCTGGCTTCGTGCAGAAATCGCTCACAGCCGTATCGCGCCCAAGTAAGTACGCGAATGGTGAAAGGAACCGATGAGATGCATATCCAGCGGTGACTATGAGGAGTACTATATTCTGGGAAGTGGTGCCGTCTAGTCCGGTAGAAGGTTAAAGAAAGACTGGCCTCACCTCCAGGGCCGAAAATTTAGCCAAGTAAGAAACATTCAGAAAGCAGAAGAACCATCTGCTTGCTAAAGTACAATCCTATGAAACGTCGGTGAACTACCGGACTGTACTGCGTCATATGGCAGAAAATAGTAATCTTGATAATTTACCCCTCGCCTCAAAGAGAAGTGTTGTTTCCATCTTCAGGGTCGAAGAGTAAACCCAGCCTGCAGCAAATACGCAGCTCCTCTCCAAATTTTCGTGAAATTCTACCAGCCTGCACGGGATCACATCCCAGACTACAGTTCTCTTTCATGGAGTTTGCCGTTTGGTTTCATACACAGGCCTAGTACTGGAAAGGCCTTTGAAGTTTCAACAAAAATTGTATTAGGGAAGTACTCGTTTCGAATCTTAGCTGGGGCACAGATTATCTTGGTTTCTCTCAGCCTAAGTTAGACATGGATTTTATTCTTTTAATAATATAGTGCTGTACTAGAATATAACTTATAACCATATATTATACAAAATATAAATACCGTATTTACGCATGTATAGGCCGCGTGCGTGTATAGGCCGCAGCACAATTTTCAGACAGAAATTATAGAAAAAATAATTTTCTTGGAATATTATTTCAGGAGTAGAAATTATTTGACCACTCTGTATTACTAATTATGAATATATTTTTTTTTAAATGAAGTGTGATTTCGAATATTTCGAATATAAGCCGCACCCCAGTTTTCCTCTTGAATTTTTGGCAAAAAATGTGAGGCCTATACATGCGTAAATACGGTATATTATAACTGCCCAGTCGGTATAGCGACTGAATACAGGCTGGACGCCGAAGAAGTCAGAATTCGAGTCCCGGTAAAATCAAGAATTTTTTACTCTCCACGTCGTCCAGACTGGTTTTAGGGCCCACCCAGCCTCTTGTCGAATGGGTACCGGGTGGCTTTCCCTGGGGGTAAAGCAGTTAAGGCGTGAAACTGACCACTGACCTACAACTAGTGACGAGGTTAACAAAACGTGAGTCTATACATCCATTCCCCCATACGCCTTCATGCTGTAGTGATTAATTAATAAAGCACAGGCACAATTTTTACCTAACACTGTGACCTTATTATTGATTAGGTATTCAGTGTATCGTCTAGAGTACGCCCACCCAAAAACGAACTTAATACCTGTATATTGTACGGGAAGAGGTAATAACAATTTTAACTAATTTATTTGTAATTCCTTGTGCTTCTCAATTGTATGCTGTGTTCTGTTAGGATCTCGCTTCATTTCAGGATCTCGCGTGACGATGCTAGCTCTGTCTGCTGCTGTCATGCTTCTCGCTGGAGCCGCACACAGTCTGACGAATTACGCTACAGAAGAGCTCGCCAGAATGAGTCGCGAAATAACATCGAAACACTTTAAGAAGTCTAAATGTCTGGCTCTTGTGACAGACCATAAAAACGACATCATGGACCGTCTGCACCCACTAGATATTCCGGTTCTGCAAGTTCACCTTCCGTTTGAGACCATGAAGGATTTCAGAATACCGACATCAGGTCTGCACGGCGCTAGAGTAAATCCTATCGTCCTTAACTGTCCCTTCAGAGCACAGATGTCGCTGTGTATGCGGCCTCCTCTAGCGTTAAACAACTCTGCATTTGTCCCACAGAACGTCTTTGTGTGTTCCGTATGGCTCTCACAGTAAGCAGTAACAATTTCCCTAAACTACATTCACCGGTTGGTCTTTGTAGCAGAGGCATAACGTGTTTCCTATGGGGTACGGACTGAATTCATATGTCTCGTATGATTCTCACAATAAAGTATCATTTTGGTTTGTCTCTGCAATAAAGATGAATGAATATTCTGTGAGGCTGGGCCAATTCGATCATGGTTTTCCTTGGTTTTCCTCGGCTCTACAGCATATTCTGAGTTGGTACCTAAATTCCACGTTGCACTGCTTGCTTCACAGGCAGCTCCCGAAATGGTAAATTCAAAATTTCGTCCTACTGGAGCCCTCCCAATAACACATCAAAATGTCAATTTAATGCAATCCTTCCGATGTTAATATCAGAATTTCGATCATACGCAGGAAAGCCCCTTCTCAATTTCTTTCCTCTGCTTCGCAATAAAGTACACCCTTCTTCACTTCCTAGAGCTTTACACTCTCTCAAACGTATGTTTACCAGAAGAAAGAGCAGGCACTGCCTGGGAAAATTCAAAGTCGAAAAATGTTTCCTCCCTTTACACTTACAGCGTGGTCGCTCTCATACGCCGCAGTTTCCCTTTCTCTTCCCATTGAGGCTCTTGAACCTGCCACCTGCAACCTGATCATGCATCTGCCGCTGATGTGAACAGCGTTTAATACGAAGTTCGAGATGAGTCCGACATGTGGACAGGATGAGAAGATAAAAAATGAGTACAGAAATTTGAAGATGATTTTTTTAAAACCTTCTTTTGCAAGACTGATAAGCAGACAAATTGACAATTGTAATCCTTTCAGGCATAGGGCATGGGAAGAAACCTTCCTTTCCTCCCAAATAATGTATTCCTCCTATTTGTCTTTCCTTCTGATTACCCTTTCAATATTTTGCCTATTATCTCACGCGCCTTTCTCCCATTTGTCGTTGTCTCCTCTTCCTGCTATGTCCCTTTTGTCTCATTCTTCTTATTCTCTTGCTATTCTTAATTTTTCTCCTCCACCTTGTTCTTCCTCTCCAATAACCTCACCCACGCAATTGTGTATATAAAATTTGAAGTGACGTGTTAGGTGGGTCCCTTGTCACCACGGCATGGCGTGTCCTCGAGTTGCGGATGGAGGAGACGGTTTCCAGATATGAAGGCTAGCTAAGAATAGATTGAGTAAGCAGTCGACAAGGGGTGGTCCTCCAGTTTGGGGATTGGTCGTGGTTCTAACAACTCCTCACCATAAAAAATAAGTTTGTTACGAAATTTCACGAAGGGCTTCGGATTTGGGAGGGCTCTTGTGAACACGGTAATGAACCATCGGGTCGTGTAAAATGCCAGGAAGTTCTTGAGTAGCTGCACAACTGGCAGCTTCTCAAGAAAGGGCTCACTTCCATGAACTTAGTTTGTTAGGGTCTCAAGTGTGACTGATTGTCCGAAACATCCTTGAGGGCATGTCATAACACGAGTAGGGGGCCATACGGAAGAAAAGTCCTGTGTTCTACGATAGAAATAAATTCAAGGAGCAGAGTAAAATGTCTCACTTCTAATTTATTCCAACAGATAAAGAAACACAATTAATTAAACAAAATTAATATTCATATGAAATATTCCTCTTTAAATGGCCCTTGCTTCTTTCTAACACTTGCCTTGCAGCACGATTCTGAGCCTGTTTCGACTTTCTGAGTCTTTGAATTACTGGGGTTTCGGACTCTGCCCATTGTCCGGTATTCTGAAATACAGACAACACAAAAATGTGGAATGCTTCCTGACTTTGCCAGTCACCCACGCGCAGGCGCCATGCTGATCTACTCTGTATCGCGATGCGTTCCACAATTTTGTTTTTTCTAGTTTTTGCAATATTGGAAAATAGGCAAAGTGCGAAAACGCAACAATTTTGAGCCTATTCATAATCGTCGCCGGTCACGGTAGCCGAGCGGTCTAAGACATGTACTGTCTTCGCTCGCTTGGAAACCAGGATCGTGGGTTCGAATCCCACTCAGGGCATGGATGTTTAGTTTGTGTGTGTATGCGTTTTTCTGTGTTTGTGTACAGGTAGAGGCCTTGCGACGAGCTGATCACCCGCCCAAGGAGTCCTACCATATGTGTAAGATCTAGAAAAGCCGAAGTGAACGGAGAAGTTCATGGAGGTAGGCCTAGGCCCACTGGGGCTATAGTGCCAAGGAAAAAACAAATTCATAATCGTCAGAACCCTTTACATTGTACTTGCTAGGTCTTTGTTTACATTCGGGACCACAGTCGTTTAATGTAATCCACATACGAAGCCACCACCTAGCAGTTGGTTGAATGTTAATAGCACATCAAGTTCACTTATTAATTCAGTTTTGAGGTCGCAATCTGTCTCTCTGCTGATTTTTCGTTACTTAGCAAGTTAGATTAACAGTGACTATTTTGGAGTCACCATAGCGTTCTTCACAGTAGTCTTTGACTTCGCTGTATCTCTGCACGTTTGTGGTCTAAAGACTATCTAGGCTGTCCTAGCACATTAATAGAATGCGTTTATTTACAATAAGACTCGCTTCCTGAAACATTTGACTTCTGCCGCTTGGTGTCATTCCACTGTTAAGTAAGAGAGATTACATTGAAGTGAATAAGAACCACGTGATAGCCGTCTCCTTTTGTGTGAGAGCTGGGCGGAAGTTACTGTTTAAGGCTGGGGCCACACGAGCGCAGAAAATGCGTCCGTTGTAACGAAGGTACTTTATGACGGACGTTGCTGAGGACACCACACATTTGTAGAATGCGTGCGTAGTTCGTCTGTAATGGAGCCAGAAGATTCGCCTCGCTTGTTTATTTCTACAACAGACGTCACGACGTTCGTTACAACGGACTCATTTTGTGCGCTCGTGTGGCCCCAGCCTAAATAGGCAGGAAGTTAAGTTTGAAACTTCTTGAATTTCCGAGATTATAATTCCCTCGAAAGCTCTAAAATGTTCTCGAAAGTACTAGAACATTAAGAAAATGCGAATTAAAATGAGATTTAAGATCTGGATGATTTGCCGAGATTGGAACCCTCGAATTTAAGGTTCGAAATCTCACTGCCCGTGATCTACTGCCTCGGCCACCGAAGTTGATGCTTCAATCTGGGCTCGAACAAGATCACCGACATGACGATGTTGGTCCTTATCTCACGAATATACTACAATACTTAGTAACGACGCAATTATACGTATTTTCGGGGGTGGACGAAATAATGGAAATACTACGAAATTAAGGAATAGTATTTATGTTGGTTACATTTAGCGTAGTTGGTTGAGGCACTGTGCTACTAGCCGGAAGGTCGCGGGTTCAAGTCTCCTTGACGTTACTGAATTTTTTTTTTTTCAATTGACCTAATCCTTCCAGCAGCACTATGGCCCTGGGGTCGACTCAGCCTCTAACAGAAATGAGTACTAGGAATATTCTTGGAATATACTTGAGGATAAAGGATGGTCGGCGCATAGGGCTGACAACCTTGCCGCCATCTATGAGACGATTGTCTAGAAAATGTGGGAACCTCAACGTCTCACAACCCTATGGGCCTTCATGGCCTGTTACAGGGATAGCTTTACTTTTAAATTTTACTTACTTTACATTGCAGGAACTTCAGCTGGCAACACTAAATGATCTTCTTGCATTTGTTACACTCTGTAGTGCTCATGTAAGTGCATTAGTGATTGTGTTGAGTGACAGTCAGTGTGAAAGATTGGAAAATGGGAGACTTGTCCGATTTGGAAACAGATCGTTGCTGCGCGTTTAGCCGGAGCATCTGTAACAAGAACAAGCTCGTATTACGTCTATCAAGAATTACAGTTTCTAAGTTTAGAAATATCCTGGTACAGTAGTTTGCTGGTTCCTTCTGTTGTTATCCTTCATGGCCGAATTACTGCAAGAGAGTGCGTGGACAGGATGAGCAATCAGGTGCATCCCATGGTCCATAGGTTATTTCCGAACAAGGACCCAGTTTTCCAAGACAACAATGGCCCCACGCATGGAGCTGAAACGGTTCAGTCCTGGTTTGAAGACCATGAAGGTGAACTTCATCTTCCATGACCAGCACAATCACCAGATTTGAACATCACTGAACCGCTATGGTCAGTTTTGGAGACCAGAGTGAGGAACAGATTCCCACCTCCAGGAACTCTGAAGCAACCTAAAGATGTTCTTCAAGAAGAATGGTATACAATTCCTCTTAGAGACTACTGAAATCTTGTATGAGTTCATTCCAAGAGGGACTGCGGCTGTACTGAAGTTAAAAGTTGGTCCTGCACCATACTAATAAAGAGATGTGTGCAGTATCTGTAGTGTTTCCATTATTTTGTCCAACTCTTATACATCTTAAGAACATCGTGAGGATGGGGCACGAATGGAACTAGCTCTGGTTCCTGTTTGATGTTCCTGGCGCTGAACCTTCGGGGTCAGCTCCCATAGCGACAGACCCCTCAACTGGACATAATGGCAGGGAATTCTGTTCCGACAGGTTTTGAAGAATACACTTGGGACGCATTCCTCTTGGCACCAATGGACGCAGGTTGCTTGGCTTTCATTGTTCAAACTACTGACGTCATGTTCATGGTGAAGACGTTTGCCAGGTTGATGCATTGTCCACAGTCGACATATCGGGCCAACAGGAAGTTCCTCTACTTACCTTCACGGCAGATTCCAGACGACATGTTTGACCAAATAATAACGGAAATATTCGCGACAAGGGAAGTGGATTTCATGCCGGACTTGGTTATAGCCAAACTTAAAACAGAGCGCAGGGTAACGCCAACTTCAAGCGGCAGTGTCGGACTGCTTACAGGTGAGTGTGAAATAGGCTTAAGGCAAATGTGAAGATTTAATATTCGCTCCTCATGCATAAAACTGATAGCAAATTTGTTATAACAAACAAACAAAAAACAAACTCCGTGGCCTGACTCCGCAAGTGAATTATACCAACATCGGCGATGTTAGTGCCAACTTTTGCTAAATTTGTTATAAGGTTTGTCAAAACAAGGGATCAGTAGCAGAGATATATCCTAATTTATTTTGTTGTCTCCCTGGTTTCAATGCGCTTGCTTCTTTCCTAATTCCACCATAAAACTATTATTTTGGGGCACCCTTCACCCCTTTGACGCATCGCGTCTTTCACATTATCGGACATTTTAGATAGAATTTCATTAGAACTGATTCTTCGGTTGTCCCGGATACGCTTATCGAATTGGCCTTGACTTTAACATACGTCTATGTACAGTCAATGGCTGCATATAACCCGCACCATCGATACGCGTCCATTTCTCACCCTTTAAATCTTCCCATCCGTCCGTAAATTTTCTTCTGGCTCACTGAACTTCCTGTAGATGTCACCAGTTTCGGCAGCCTCTGGCTCACTGAACTTCCTGTAGATGTCGCCAGTTTCGGCAGCCTCTGGCTCACTGAACTTCCTGCAAATGTCGCCAGTTACCGCAGCCTCTGACTGCAAAAGTCGGATCACAGTTCGCTGTTCTTATCTTCTGCAGCCATCTTACATCACTCAAAAGCCAGTGAAGACGGACTGAGTACGAATGGGCCAATGTTCGCGTATCTGCTACACCCTTCAGCCTCCACACTGCTGCCGAAGCCACTTCAGAGGGAAATAAAACTGTCCTAAATTTCTTTTACATCCTCTCATAGATTATGGGGCACGCGGCAGCGCCGTTGGCTTAGGTACTATGCTATAAACCTGAAGGTCGCGAGTTCGACTCCCGATGAGGTAACTGGATTTTTCAATTTACCTAATCGCTCCCGGCCGCGCTATGACTCTGGGGTCAACTCAACCTCCAACACAAATGAGAACCAGGAATTTTCCTGGGGTAAAGGGCGGCCGGCGCGTGAGGCTGACAATCTCACCGCAATCTCTGAGCCGATTGTCTAGAAAATGTGGGAGCCTCACAAACCTATGGGTCTCCAAGGCCTGTTCCAGGGATATAGCTTTACCTCTTTTATCTCGTAGATTATAATGCGAATATTGTTAACATTTTCTGGGAACGCAAAATAATTACAATCGGATCCAATCTGGAATATTTTATACGAATTTGTAAAGCAACATTTATCATTTTAAGCCAAACATTCTGCCAGTGTACTGTATAGCTTCTCTACTTTAGTCTGACTTCAATTGCGAGCACTGAGAAACTACTGCCAACCAGTGCGACATGGAAAGGTGGTATTTCCGCCTGTTTCAAAATTAGATTAGTTATTGTGCCCCCCTCCCCATGTTTCGCCTGATAACACTTCCACCTCACCATAAGCCAATGCTGCACCCCAGTTTTCTATCAGCTATAGCGTAGACATTATGCAGCTTTTTACTATCACATAAAACAAGGAGTTAATAAACAAAGTTCTTACAGAAAACTTAGACGCCGAAAGAAACATGAAGATTGAATTGATTACTCACCGTTTTAATGGAAGAAATCCTTCAGAACGCCTCTCAGTAGATGTGTGGGCTCCCGAACATGGTTTCATCTACCAAGCGGACCTATATCCTGATAAGGTCACGAACCTCAACGGCAAAACCCTCAGCCTCACCGCCATCTTCTATCCGCCCCTTTCTGTGGTGTACGAGGACCGCGATCCTGCCCTTTATGATGGGCTCGAGTTCCAGGTGATGTATTCATGGGCACGACAGAATAACTTCACTTGGCGAGTCGTGTACGAACCGGATGAATGGTGGGGAGCCATCTGGGAAAACGGAAGTGGAGTCGGGCTCTCTGGACACGTGTCCATGGACAAGGCGGATGTCGGATTTGGCGCTATCTACCTTTGGGAAAACGAACACAGATTCACGGATTACAGGTAAGGATTATATACTTACTTATCTGAATCCCTGTACTACAATTTATTTACTCAGCATGTGACGCCGTGTACACAAGTACCAAAGTTTCGGAGCAATATGCCACCTCCTTCTTCAGGGTATATGTTACTAAATTATGCGGCGTCATATTCCGCATTCACCGCCATGAAAACGTTAAATCTCTTGTGAAATTTAAGAGAGTCACAGTTCCCACGATGGTAACAGGAATATTATATCAGGGCATGTGGACCTTTTTGGGTTATGACACCGTGTAGTCTGGTGGTTGGGTATAAATATTTTGGAGAAATATCTTCAGGACAGAATTTAAAATGCAGAAAATTGTTCCTCCAAAATAACGGCAAATACTCACCACACTCTATCGGTAGGAGCAAGAATGTTCTCTTCTCTATATCCGCCAGACTCTGTGAGACCGCGGCCCGGCAGTTGAGAAACACTGCTCCACACCGTTTCTGGGGCCCACCCAGCCTCCTCTCCAATGAGTACCGGGGCCTCTTTGCTCGGGAGTAAAGCGACCGAGGTGTGAAGCTGACCACTCACCTCCAGCTAGTGCCGAGTTCAAGGAAACCCGGATTTATACACCCACTTCCCCATACGCCTTCATGACGTAGTGCTTAATTAGTTAAGCACAGGAACAACTTTACCTTTTACCCAGAACACTACACGGTACCGTAACCCAGAACACCAAACACGAATCTTCACCACATGACGAGCCTCGAATATTAATATGAACGTGTACTGAACGAATTGTATGAGGAGGCAGCGGTCTGTTGTTCAAGTAAATCAGGCTAATCTAATTATATTACGCTTGCTGTATGGGCCGCGCCATAGTTCAGGAGTTTAGTCGCCGATTTTCCACTGCGGCGGCCATGGTTCGAGCCTAGGTCAAATGATGTGGGCTTTGTGGTGGGCGAAATTGCACTGGGGCAGTTTCTGTCCTAGTACTTCTGTTCCCCCTACCAATTCTCATTCCAACGACAGGTCCACACTCATCACCATCCTGGGCTGGTACAAGAGGCCAGTTAGTGGACTCAGTCTCACTCCACCCCAAGAAACTGAAACTAAACTTGCTCTATATAGATTGTACAGTTTACTGTGATGCTGAAGTATTTCAGTTCTGTGTATTTCAGGACATCTCTCACAACAGTGTTACCAAAGCCCAAGCTGTTACCAGGATGGATGGTCCCAATCCACCCGTTCAGTCCGAGCATGTGGACGGCGGTGGGTCTCTCCCTTGTTGTGTCGACGGTGGCGCTCCACGCGACTTCCCGAGCCAGCGTCAGGATATTAGGTTGGTATGTGACCGGACGTAACGTCGTTAAGTAGACACAGGCCCGAAACCCTTCTTACAACACGGCGGTTATTATACGTACCATTTTCTGGTGCTCTAGAAGCTCTGCTTTTGAGCCTGACACTGCAAGATATATCCTAAAAAGGTAACGCTATGCTTGTATCAGGCCGTGGGGGACCATAGGGTTGTGAGACGTCGAGGCTCCCACATTTTCTAGACAATCGGCTCACAGATGGCGGTTAGGTTGTCAGCCTTACACGCCGGCCGCCCTTAACCCCCCAGGAATATTGCTGGTACTCATTTCTGTTACAGGCTGAGTCCAGGGTCATAGCGTGGCTGGAAGGATTAGGTAAATTGAGAAAATCCAATGCCCTCATTGGAAATCGAACCCGCGGCCTTCCTCCTTCCAACTAACTACGGTACCGCCTGTCTCAGAAATAGGCCATACAAACTGAATTTTTAAATGCGATATAGTTTTGGCGATCTTCGTGTTTCAAATCGTTAAACTCATTATGCATCATTAACTGCATAGAACAAAGTTTGTGTTTGGTAGGTTATCAGTAGATGGACAACATAACGTCGATTGGCAGGATGATAGATGAATGACGAATTAAAAATGATTTAGAAGGAAATGGTCACAGGTACTATCACGGCATTTAGTTGGATGGACTGAAGAAAACCGCGAAATCCTAACCGAACACCTCTTGAGCACGAGTCAAGTGCGTTACAGCTATGCAAACCCACTCCTCATATGACAAAGGATCCTCGCCATGCAACAGACAGTCAATAGTTCAGAACACGCAGGGTCGAGTATATACTGATTAGTACGAAGGAGGGTCAGTAAATAGGCCACAAATTGATATAAAACGTAAAACTCGTGATTTTCGAATCTCGACGAAAAAATCATTAATTTCTCGACAAATCTTCCACCAACACTTATACAACTATAACTTCTATATTACAACCGTCACAACACAACTATATCAAGGTCAGTGCCTGGTTTTGGCTCTGCTACATGTTTCAGTTATTAATAGCCATCATCAGGCGAATACATGGCTAACCAGGGGCATAGGGTACATGGATGTGGTGGAAGCATTGCTTCCCTATAGAAAAGCAACCAAGAACATTTCTGGCAATTTTTCAATTTCGAAAAAATATTTCATACTTCAAAATATTAATTAATCTGAGAACATATATTACATATAATGAGAATATTGCAAGTTTTAATGTGTTAAATAAACAATTTATCAGGATAGATCAGTTATTTTCTTCAAAAATGCAGGGTACTTCAAATTGCAACACGCGCGGAAGCAGCAGGTCTTTCGCTTCCACCCTCCCCTGTGTTAACTGGCTGACCAATGTCAATATTGTCTGTAAGTGAGCTATCCGTTATGGTATGCTACTAGCTTCGTGCTTCCAGCAATGTTGCCAGATGTAAGGCATTGCAGTTCGCAGTAGAGTGCAGTAGAATAGTCTGTGACCTGGCAGTTAAGCGTGTGTATTAGTTTTCAGAAGGTGTTAGCGTCTCATTTATGCACAAGTCAGTTTAGTTATTATTCTGTATTTTTCTCGATACAGAATTTGTTTTGCTTTGCGTAATTATAACTTTATGACCAGTGTTTTTGTGATTGCTGTTAAGTTAAAAATAGAAACATGACACTTTCATGTGATAACCACTGTGTGATTGAAAAACTTCTTCAAACACCGTTCAGTTCACTCAGTTATAATGAGAAACTTAAGATAATAGAAGAAGGTGCACCTAAGCCTAATCTAACTTTACATACAAAAGTGAAATCTTGCACACGGCATTTCAATACCAGTTTATATGAGGCTATTCCATGGTTGTGTGGGTGTGATAAACTAAACAAATTATTCTGTTGGCCTTGTCTCTTGTTTTCTAAAGAAAAACACGTGTTTAACAGTGCTGGTTACAATGACATTAACAACATTTACAAATCTGGCAAACGACATGGGCATTCAGTTAATCACATTGCTTGTCTTAAAGAAATTACACTGTTTGGTAAAAACAGAAGGATTGAATTTTCTCTAAGCAGCCAATACAAACAGTCAATTGAAAAACACAATGAAGCTGTGAAACAGAACAGGAAATTTGTAGGCCAATTAATTACAGCAGTTTGTTTTCTGGGCTCTCAGGGTTTAGCATTTCGGGGACATGATGAAAGCGTGGCATCTGTTAATAGAGGAAATTACATTGAGGTTTTAAATATGCTGGCACGTTATGATTCTGATTTACACAATCATTTAGAGTCTTCAACTGCTTTCCGTGGTTCTTCTCCTGACATCCAAAATGAACTGATACATTCTGTATCTGAATTGATGACAATGGAAATTAAAAAGGAAATTTCAAAGGCTAATTATGTTTCTTTAATTCTTGATGAGACTTCAGATGTGATGAATAAGTGTCAGTTGGCTTCAGTTCTTCGATATGTGACAGCTGATGGCAATGTTGAAGAAAGGTTTCTGCGTTTTACAGACGTGAGCTCTGACCGTTCTGCCAATTCCTTGTTTAACCATGCTCTTGAGATTTTAAATGATTTTGAATGTGGTCCCAAACTCATTGCACAGACTTATGATGGTGCTGCTGTTATGGCATCACAACATGCAGGAGTACAAGCAAAAATTCGCGAGCAGTACCCAAACGCCATTTTTATTCATTGTTATGCGCATAGACTAAATTTAGTCTTAGCACAATCTGCTAGTTTTATTAAGGAAGTTAAGGTCTTCTTTGCTACTCTCTCTGGCTTTAGAACTTTTTTTGCCAAGTCCACAAAAAGGACTGAAGCATTGGATTCCCACCTTAGGAAAAGATTTCCTTCTATCGCACCTACTCGATGGCAGTACCATAGCCGACTTGCTGAAACTGTGCATGAATACAGAGAAGGAATTGAGAATCTTCTTGTGTCTATAATAGAGGAACCAGAAGAATGGGATGTAGAAACAATTTCTTCTGCACGCGGACTTCTCTCTCTTCTAAGGGATTTCGATTTCAATTTCATGCTGAAAATATTTTCTTCAATTTTTCCATATTCTGGCGCTCTTTTCAAAATCCTACAAACTAAGAGATCTGATATAGCTTTTTGCAATACCAAAATAGACGAATTTAAGCATCACATGCAAAGATTAAGGGGAGGATTTGACCACCTTTGGAGTGAAATGGAAAATGTCTTCGATTCAAATGGCCCAACTCGACCCAAAAGAATTCGCATTGACTCAATGAGTGGAGAAGAAAGAAAAAACTCCTATAAACGGCTGTTCTGTGAAATTATTGATGTCGTGTGTCAGAATGTCTCTGTTAGATTTTCGGAGAACGCTACGCTCCTCTTCTTGAGTCTTCTTGATGCCAGATACTTTCCCATGTATAGAACCTCATTTCCTGAAAAAGCATTTTCCTGTTTAAAAGAAAATTATGGTGCATTTTTTGACTTTGTTGCCTTAAAGAGTGAACTTTTAGTAATGTTTTCGGACCCAGATATGGCAAAAGATAGTGTGTATGACTTACATCAATATATGTATGCTCTTCAGTTATCATGCGTTTTCCCGCAAATCTTCAAATTATGTGAGCTAGTATTAACAATACCAGCGACAAGTGCTGCAGATGAACGCTCATTTTCAGCTCTGAAGAGATTAAAAAACTACTTAAGAAATTCGCAGAACCAGGATAGGTTGTCATCACTGGCTTTGATGAACATTGAAAAGTCCTTCCTAAACAAACTGCAGTCCAAACCCAGCTTTCTAGATGAGGTTATTGATCTGTTTGCCAAGAAAAACAGAAGAATCGAGCTGAATTATAAACAATAAAGTAAGCATTAATTATATTCCAGGTTCACAACCCTGTCATTTGATGGCTATAAAATTGTGTTGATAATTATGTGTTATTTTAATATATTAGCTTAAATATACAATACATATTAAACTATTAGCTGTTTTCTTTTAAATAGAAGATAGAAACTATAGGGTATGTAGAAAAAATTTATATACACGTATATAAAGTTGCTTCCCTGCTTTCGGTATTCATGCTACGCCACTGTGGCTAACATATATACACCACTGACCTGCAGTATTAATAAAATTTCATACAATAATATTAATTATATTAAAACACTTGGCGTAAAAATACAATAAATAGGTTATATAAAACAAAAGTTATAGTATAAAACAATAATAAAATTCTTTAATCGATACTTTACATCATCGAGTCAGTCGTTGGTTTTTATGATTTTGTTCGTTGACCATGAGAACATCAAATGAAGAATTTTATTCTTGTTTTATATAACCTATTTATTGTATATTTACGTCAAGTATTTTAATATAATTAATATTATTGTATCCAATTTTATTAATACTGCAGGTCAGTGGTGTATATATGTTAGGTATTTGCCTGATGATGGCTATTAATAGCCGAAACATGTAGCAGAGCCAAACGAGGTACTGATCTTGGTATAGTTGTGTTGTGACGGTCTTAATAAAGAAGTTATATATTATAACACAACAGGATGCATGAAATGAAAACTTATACAACTTCCCCATTGCTTTGAAACCCGCAGTATTGAAGTCTTTTGACTATTGTCTCATCCACTTCCGCACTTCCTCTTCAACCTCTTCGTCTTCAGCTAAACGTTCACCACCCAGTTGCGAACCGCTTTACGCGACAAACACTTCCCCACTGTAAACAAGAAACGTTTCGTTGTGAATATCCTTTGCGTTGAATACATTTGGCCATAAAATAGCACAACACAACGCTGCTCTTCTGTACTATATTCCTCAAGCACGATCGCCATTTTGACTACTGAAACTAGTATCTGAACAGACGCATGCGCGTCTGCTACATAGACTGTCATGAAACTTGACTGTGCTGGTACCTAGTGATAGACATAGAAAACCTATTACGTCCATTAGAGCTGTTTTGCTTCCATGTATACCTATTTACTGACTCTCCCTTGCACATTATGATCGAAAAGTTGTGAAAGGAAGCAGCCCGGGCATAATTTTGGGTGCTATCTCAGCATTTGCCTGGACAGACTGAGAAAACGAGCGAAAACCTCAGTCAGGATATTTAGTGTCCCATCCGAATTCCGAAACATGCACCTCCCTAATACAAGTCAGAACCTTCAGAGCTTGATCCAACTTGCTCGGTCCCTTGGCGTCACTATTTGGTCCCTGCCGCTGGATTCGATCCACTCAGAACGGGCCTGGTCTCCCATGGGGCATCGACCTTCAAATCTTTCGAATAAACACTCTTCTTCAATGGCAGGGTCAGGAGAAGGCAAACCTGTGGTCAACATGTACTCCACGTGGGTGGAGTGCGCATTTCGCACAATGGGGCTACTGGTACTGCAGGTGCCACCGGACGAGCGCGACTTCAGCACCCTTCGTCACGTGCCCATGCGCCATCTTGTCACTTGGCTCATTCTCTTCTACTTCGTGGTGACGACGGGATACTCCGCCGGCCTTGCGTCTGTGCTTACTCTGCCGAGGTTCGTCTCACTTCAGTCTATAATTAACTGTTGTCTATTTAACGATGCTGTCAGTATCTCGCGCTGTACAGTGGCGAATGATTAGTGGATATTTAAGTAAAAAGATCTGGAAGAGGGCATGGCTTAATTTGAAACATCGAGACATTTAACTGGAAGACCGAACAAACGACGAAAACCAGAAGCTTTAACTTGCTTCATTATACCGGAGAAAGATGAAATTACGAACATCTGCATGATAAATGAAAAGACCTTCCGTTGACTTTTAAACGGGCCTTACACCATCATATACAAGAACCCGCTTAATTTAATTTCGAACGAATTAGGCAACGGTATAGCTCAGTCGGTATAGCGACGAGCAAAAAGCTCGAAGGCCTGGGTTCGAATCCCAGCAGGGACAATATTTTTCTCTTTTCCACAGACCACGTTTGGGGCCCATCTATCCTCCTGAAATATGACATCCAGGGATTCTTTTCCAGGGGGTAACAATCCAATACTTAGGCGACCAAATACTGTCAGTTACAATTTCCGCGAGCCTTGCGTTTCTCCTGATGCTTACCCTTGAACAGAAGAAAGTGAAGGCGCCTGAATCAACATGTTAGGAGCATATTTCCTAATTTGTTCATTTCTAAACAAAATTTCATACGTTTTCAGATATGAGCCTCCGATCGAAACGCCAGCTGAGATGGCAGATCGTAATATAAAATGGGGCGGTATGGATGTCGCATACGTGTTCTTCTTGCAGCAGTCTCTGGATCCAAAAATGAAGAGATTGGCAAGCAATTTCATTGAGGGAGATGAAGAGTACCTGACAAAGGCAGCAGCTACTGGGGAGATGGGTTTCGTAATTGAAAGGATGCAAAACGGTAAGTGCATCAAATTACACTTGGTCATCGACTTACGACCTATGCGACTTACGACCACAGTATGTACAGATAGCCTAGGCGTAGAAGCGAAGATGTGCACAGCATCGCTAAGTAAAAGATAAAAACATTACTGTATTTAAAATGAAAAATAAAAGATGATTAAAATGTAAAAGTTTTTAAAAATAAATTATAAAGATGATAAAAAGATTGGAAAGGTTAAAAATACTGTTAATAAATATACGGCCGACATACGACCAGATCGACTTACGACCTGTCAGTCAGAACGGAAGTCGGTCGTAAGTCGACGATCAAGTGTGTACTGTTATCTCCTTCCTCTGCAAAATAAGATCGTCACAGAGCTGATGCCGTAGCTTTCAAGCTCGAGACTCGTATTCGGACAGTCCCCGTTCGAATCTTGGACATGGACTGTCCTGACTGAAATCTTTCGTTGTTTTATTCAGTCCCTAACATTTCTGATCCTTCCCCTGCATGCCAATCTCATGCTCCCTGATTGTGACTATGTCATTTTATTCTTTTCAATTTTACACATCAGAGGCAACGGTCGGGATAGAACGCAGAGCCCTTTGCATGTTATACTATACGTCCGGTGTTCGATTCCCGACAGAGACAGCGATTTGTCCCTTCCCCGCCGCGTCAAGCTGTCAATTAATCTCCATCCGGTGGATTGTGGTCATCTGAATTATGATACCGTGTACTCTTGCAGGCGGATGCCGACGTTTCAGGCGAACCTGCTGCCTCTATCTTCAGGAATAAAGTTGAAAGGTGCGACCCTGTAGATAAAGTAAGTCCTTTCGAAACGTCGGTATCAGCTTAAAGACTACCGGTTTCATAAACGAAAACACCACAATCTGAAAATAATTTATGAGAAATCTTAAGATATTATAAAGTTAAGGAAGCTTGAAACTACGCCTGCACGTTTTCATGGCGTAATGCATAATTCAATTCTTATTGTGGTCAACCTACCACCTGAATACAACCCTCCGAAACGTCCTACATCGCACATGACGATCAGTTCGACGAGGCAAATGGTAATTCCGTGAAGAAATCTGCAGGTCACTTTTTCCTGCCGTCATTCATCAATGAAGACACGATGGAGAAGCTGCGTGTAATGAAGGAGGACTACGTGTACGGGCACTGCGTCTTCATGCTGCGCAAGGGGTCCCCCTACATGGGGATCATCAACTCTATAGTCCACAAGGTGCGTGACACGGGGCTGGTCTTGTACTGGGAGGACGTCACTGTCAGGCGCTACATGTCCACAAGACGCCAGCTTTCCGTCATCAACAGCCGAAAGGAGGTGGACCCTGGCCCTACACAACTCCTGCTTCGCCATGTGACGGTCAGTAGCCTCTGTAACCTACGGCTCGCGATCCATGTCCCTTGTCAGAAAGGCACGGTGTGTGCGGAGGGGTTGAACTCCAGATATAGAGGGTGGCTGCCAGTATACTGAATAAGCAGTCGCAGACGGCCTATAATGGGTACGCTCCAGCATCATTGTTCAGTGGGGAGCTAATAACTCCTCACTGCAAAAGCAGGGCGGGATGTCGCGGTCTCAGGAGAATGCGGTAATGAAGCTGGGAATATCTTGAGGAGCCGTATGACTGCTGGCTTATTAAGAACTGTTTCACGAAGTTAGTTTGCTTACTTAATTAAGAGTGGAGACAAAGCAGTATTTTCATGAAAAGCACAGATGGCTGAAAGCTTTGCCTAAGTTTCTTCATCTTTGCTCCTACTATCTTGTACATTATCCATCAGCTAAGTCTCATATCAACATACGTTTTCTGAATTCGATCCGACTTCTATCTTCTGGCAAAATAACGGTCCATGCTGAGATAACGCTGTTCAATAAAAGTAACCAAATTAATGACCTCCTGAAATTTCTAAAACTTTTAATAGGACACCCAAAATGTGCAGAACAAACAGCTAATCTACTATGACTATAGACAGGGTTTGGGTTCGTGAATTGGATTTACTGGCCACTTATACACGCCACTCGAAACTACAAGTAATTACAGCGCTATCGCTGATCTACACACTTTACAAATCACTAAACGCCAAGTCTTTCCCGGCCTGCTGTTTCTCCAACAGCCGTTCCCTAGCATTCGCTTCTAACAGTGGAGATTCTTCAGCTTCCCGCTCTCAGGTCCTCTTGCCACAGGCGCCCCTGCAAAACTCTTGTCAGCTGATCTACTGATCTATACTGCCATCTCTTCTTAGCCTCCCTTGCAGAGCTCAACTGAACTGCCAACACCCAACTGACTCACTCAGCCGACCTGGGGTCCTCGCTATATAGCCTCGGGACGGACACAACAGAAAGCACCGCCTCTAACAGTTTCTCTATTGTTGTTGTGGCCTGTTGCCTAGCGATAGCCCGGATATCGTTGACGTGTTTACCAGATGCTACCAAGCAACGCATGTTCCGTCTACTGACTGTTGGATAGCAACGGCACTATACGCCACAATATCATGCAATCGTCCCCTCAGGATTTCTCGTGGCCTATTTTGAGGGGGTTCACAGAGTTCTCAAGAATAAAAGTACAGCTGTATCCATGCACAGTCATGGTAAGTAATGGGAAGATGCAGCACCAGCCGGAAAAAAATTTACGACTGAGCAGGAGCATTTTACAGGGCACTACAGGTGCATAGAAGCCGTATAGCTAGGCTCCTGCTGCCACGAAACAGCCTGACAGGGATCTGCAACATTTGTAGAACTACACTTCTTGCTAATTGGCAGGGACGTGGGGTCGGGTAAATTTGTGTATTATGTTAGGATATTGAGGTATTACAAAGTTTGAGAATCCTTGATGTAAATAAATGTTATGTTTTGTGTTTTGCTGACATACATTCAATCTTCCCTTTCAGGGCTCGTTCTACTTGCTGGGCTATGGAATGGCTCTATCTGTCTTCGTTTTCATATCGGAGGTGTTCATATACAAATATCTGAAAGTGGAGATCACAGTCCAAAGCGGATGAAGCGTCCGACACATGTTTAACGAAACCCCAGCCAGTCGCATAGTGGGCACAGATACACAGTACTTAGAATAGTTACCGTAGTTTCAATGACCTGTCCACAGTACGACAGACATGGGAGGAACCCATCTCTCCGCCCCAGTTTATGTTTTAAAGTTGGAACACACAAACAATATGAAAACTGGGAACACAGTTAACCGACTCAGAGAAGTTCCAGCTGAATCGTAAAGACGGACACACTCTGGCGGGTGTAATGTTGTAAAATTAAGGACTGTCCCATGCTTTCCGAGAAGAATATGTACTCATACATCCACATGCATGCACTCCTAGGCTCTCCTACATATACCGTTCCTCTTGTATTACTATATTATACGAATGTAAATTATAATTGTTCTAAATACGTTTGCTGTTATGCCACAGTGAAATGCCATGATGCTCTTATTATGATTGACTTACTAACCCTTTATAGCACAGTGGTAATTGTATGTACCGCCTACTTTAACATACCAAAATTATGAGTTCTGTCCACAGAGTTCATGTGTAGGTTTATCACAAAAAAATAACAGCGACTGTTTCCCTAAACAAAATTAACCGGTTGGGCTTTGTAGTGGAGAGGTAATGTGCTTCCTGTGAGGTACGAGCTGGATTTTTAATATTATTTGTGTGTAACGTATGGTTCTCACAATAAACAGCATTAACCGGTTGGGCTGGGTAGCGGAGACGTAGTGTGTTTCCTGTGAGGTACGAACTGAATCTTTATATATTATTTGTGTTCCGTATGGTTCTCACAGTAAACAGCGACTGTTTCCATAAACAACATTAACCAGTGCTGCTGATATGAATACCAGTGTTCCATCAGGCAGCATATAAGAGTACCGAAATTGAGAAGAGAAAGAGTGGTACAGGCCTTTTTCCTCTGTTGATTCCGGAAATGGAGAATATATATTAATAGAAAGGCAGAGTTACTTTGTTTTCCAAACGCCTGCTTGACTGTCGCTCTAGTATGCTTGCAGTAAGGATTCTTAACTATGAACGAAACAAAGTATCCTGATGGACACCAGAATCAAAATTTACAAAGAGGACACAAACATTTTGCATCCTGCGCAAAGCAAACTTCAGACTAAGGAAACTGTTTCCTGTTGTAAATAGATCCTCCACAATTGGCATTAGTAATTTACAGATCACTTCTTCGGTTTACACGCCTCCCCCGTCTGGGGTATGCTGCTGATACTTTTACCGGCAAATTACAGACATTTAAAAATTTCGAAATTACCCAGCATAACACCAGTTCGAACAGATAGGAATGAGATTAATAAAATATTACATCAAGAACCAAGTGAAACTTTATACAGAAGTCAATAGGCAGTGAGAAAGATAAAGTTAAGAATCAGGACAATGCGATCCACCGGTGCGGTCTGCGTTCCCTGCAAGGTAATCCGCCCTGAGCAAAGCATAAGCGAAAGTAAAAGGAATGTATAATTATAGGTAAAATATGTACCGCTATCCCTGTAATAGGCCGTGGTGGGCCATAGGTTTGTGAGACGTCGAGGCTCCAACATTTTCTAGACAATCAGATCACAGATGGCGGTAAGGATGTCAGCCATGGTGCTGCTGGAAGGATTAGGTAAATTGAAAAAATCTAATTACCTCATCGGAAATCGAGCCCGTGACCTTATAATATCAATCTACAAGTATGCAATCTCCTTTTATCAACTAACATCTGAAGACTGTCCCACTGGATCGAGAAATGCAAAGCGACTATATCAACTCGCGTTCCTAGTAAGGCTCGTTACTCTTGATGTGAGCGGCCTCCGTAGTCTAGAGGTAACGTTCCCACCTCATGACTCGTAGTACGCGGGTTCAAATACCCGGCGGAGGTCGTCGAATTTTTAAGGGCGGAAAAATTCAGGGAACAAGTCCTCCGGGAGGGACTTTAAGCCGTGGGTCCCGTGTCGTAGCTTTACGGCACGTAAAAGAACCTCATATCTCCAAAGGAGGTCACTGAGCCAAATTACGGACGTTTCCCGCCCAACAGCAGTCTCTAATACCTCTGGTAGATGGGGGAAGCATTATAGATACCTCTCAGCTAGTAGAGCCGGTCTCGCTGGCTGGGCGGGACTGATGGTAAGCACCAATACCGGTAGGATATAGAGACTGGTAGAAATCATAGAGGGAAGCATAATGGACCAGTACAGGTCTAAGTGCATGGGGAAACCCACCCTCTCCAATAACTAACTAACTAACTACTCTTGATGGGTGTCGTAGTCCTTAGCAATTAGCGAAAAAGTGAAACAACGAATATATCTCATTTTAAGTTAAGCAATCACTGTCCCAAAACTACAAATCATTCGAGACACAAATCTGCACCCTCCCCGCACAAACATTAAGAAAACACAAGATCTAAGTTAGTGAATCCAGAATTCTGAGGATATTTCCGAAGGTTCCGTCCGTAAGCGGTCACATTGACCACTTCCCCGCGCTGGAGGAAACGGAGAACCGGAGAAAGAGAGGAGTAGGAAGAAGATGACAGTGTTACATGGTGTAAGTAACAGAGCTCGCAGAACATTGGAATATCTTCCGCAGTTAATTAACCATGTCCCAGATAGCCATGCGCATGTGCATGCAAAAGTATCCACACGAAACAAAATGTGTAAAAGTACTGCATACAAAGCAACAGCACAGAGAGCGACCAAGGTTAGGGTTCTTGTAACTTAATGGCGGACTCCTGGCTAGAAGTCAGTTTGCATACCGAAGGTCCCAACTTGATCACGGTTTTCTGTGGGATTCCTCGGTTCTAGAACATATGTGAGCTAGTAACAAAATTGCACATCGACCTGTATGTTTCACATGCATCTCCCCACACCACACCAATGGCAACATTAAAATTTCGCCCTTACCAGTGCTAAATAAAAATTTCACTCTAATGCAGCCTTTCAAACTTTAGTATCCAAAGTAAAATGATAAGTAATAAAGCCCTTGATCAATTTCCTTCCTCTGCCCGTAACAAAATACACTTCCTAGACTTTTTTTTCATCAGTAATCTGTCAGTAATCAGTAATCTGACAGTAATCTGTCAGACGACAGGTCCACAGTCTCTTCCAAAACGTACGTACAGTCAGACAAGACTTTTACCGTTCTCATTTCCAACTCTTTTACCGCCGATCAAACACCTCTACCATTGCCCGGGAAATTTAAAATCGGAAAGTTATTTTTCCTCACTACTCCCCCCTCCACCCACCTTTCCGTCTCGTCAGGTTTCAGATAGTGAATTTATATTACTGCAGGATACTCACTTATTCAGCTGAACCCTTCTTGAGGAGCCGCAAATTCTGTAGCTACTCAAGAACTTCCCAGCATTTTATGGAACCCGAAGGTTCATTACCGTGTTCAGAAGAGCCCTCCACTGGTCCCTATCCTGAGCCAGATTAATCCAATCCACACTATCCCATCCTATCTCTCTAAGATCCATTTTAATTTTGTTCACTCACCTACGCCTTGGTCTCCTTCCCTCTGGCTTTACCTATATGCATTTCCCTTCTCACCACTCGTGCTACATGACCTGCCAACCTCATCATCCTCTACTTGATCATTCTAATTATATTTGGAGAAGAGTACAAGTTATGAAGCTCCTCATTATGCAGTTTTCTTCAACCATTCGGGATACGAAAATTATCAGGCAAATATTTACCTATATGGACTTTAATATGTGGGTCCCTTGTCACAATGGCACGGCGCGACCTCAGGTTGCGGATGGAGACGCACTTCAGATGTGGAGAGAGGATAGAAATATATTGAATAAGCAGTCTCGGACAGCCGACAAGGAGTTGTCCTTCAGCTTGGGGTTTGGGCGTGGGGATACAAACTTCTCACCGTACAAAATAGGTTTGTTACGAAAATGTTCAATGCAGGATACTGCAGATTAAAAAATAATTTTGCGTAATGCTGACTGCAGAATTTCATGATTCTTTTGGAACTAAATTATTGATTTTATTTTAATGGCATCACGGTACATTTCGAGTGCCTCTATGGTATCATTACTTATTCATGATGAACGTAGTTCTAGATTATTGATTTCATTTTAACGATAGGAAAATGTATCTGCACGTGTAGGCCCATAGTATTACCATCATTAAATAAAAAGTAATGCGATTGTACAAGCGCGCGTGCATACTGTACAGCACGTCTTGTTAGCATAACATGTGTGTACCTGAGGCCTCACGTGACGAGGCACTTCGTTTCGTCACAGCGTACGGTAAGCACAATTTAGCATTATTGCTCACCAAAAAGGAAATTAATATGTTTTAATCGCTTTGTGCCTGAGTCGATGTAGAGTTAAAATATACGAAATTATAACTATATGTGCTGCTTTAAGGACGGCGAAACTTGGAACTACTTATCAAGGGAAAGGCTAAAGTGAGGGTGCCTGGGAACAGGGTGCAGGGGGGAATATTTGGGCCTAAGCGAGCGGACGTGAGCGGAAAAAGGGGAAAATTACAAAGTGACGCTCTTTATAATCTGTATTATTCGTGAAATATTAGGAAGAGCAGATAAAAGACAATGAGACGGACAGAATATGAAATTATGCTAGGACAGGTTTTCAAATAGAGAAAAAGATGAGACCATTTGTAAGNATAGTATTACCATCATTAAATAAAAAGTAATGCGATTGTACAAGCGGGCGTGCATACTGTACAGCACGTCTTGTTAGCAAAATATGTGTGTACCTGAGGCCTCATATGACGAGGCACTTCGTTTCGTCACAACGTACGGTAAGCACAATCTAGCATTATTGCTCACCAAAAAGAAAATTAATATGTTTTAATCGCTTTGTGCCTGAGTCGATGTAGAGTTAAAATATACGAAATTATAACTATATGTGCTGCTTTAAGGACGGCGAAACTTGGAACTACTTATCAAGGGAAAGGCTAAAGTGAGGGTGCCTGGGAACAGGGTGCAGGGGGGAATATTTGGGCCTAAGCGAGCGGACGTGAGCGGAAAAAGGGGAAAATTACAAAGTGACGCTCTTTATAATCTGTATTATTCGTGAAATATTAGGAAGAGCAGATAAAAGACAATGAGACGGACAGAATATGAAATTATGCTAGGACAGGTTTTCAAATAGAGAAAAAGATGAGACCATTTGTAAGACCGTTTTTGCTTACTCATGGAGCTGAGCCCTTCTGGAGGAGCCGTAAATTCTGCAGCTACTCAAGAATTTCCCAGCATTCTATGGAACCCGAACGTTCAGTACCGTGTTCACAAGAGCCCTCCTCTGGTCCCTATCCTTAGCCAGATCTATCAAATCCATAACATCCCATCCTATCTCTCTAAGATCCATTTTAATATTGTCCACCCACCTACACCTTGGTCTTCCCAGTGGTCTCTTTCCTTCTGGCTTTCACACCAATATCCTTTACGCATTCCTTGACTCCTCCAAACGTGCCACATGCCCTGCCCACGTCATCCTCCTTGACTTGATCATTCTAATTATACTTGGAGAAGAGTACAAGTTATGAAGCTCATCATGCAGTTTCCTCCAACCTCCTGTCACTTCATCTCTCTTCGGTCCAAATATTCTCCTCA